CTGTCCTTTCCTTTGTCCTTGTTCCTTACCTACAAAGACAAGGATAAAGAAAACAATATGCCGGAACTTCCACTCAAACTCGGGTAAGGAACCGACTACTTGGAACCCTTCCCTGATTGCCTACCTAGCACTGCTCTCGAGTACTCGCCTTCCACTGCTGCTGTACTTTCAAAGAAGCTGCCACATCTACTTGAGGGACAGATAAGGCAAGTGAAAATGATACCTTGCAGCATGTGGAGACAAGGTGCAGAAGGAACAAGCAGAGAAGAATGCGGTCTGCACGATCAACTCAGCAGAAGGAGTCCGAACTGAGAAACTTGAGAAGCTGCCACATCTGCCTAAAGAAACAAGCAGAGACGAATGCAGCATGCACAGTCAACTCAGCATAAAGAGTCTGAGATGAAGAAATCGAGAAGATGCCGCATCTGCCTGAGGACGGTGAACTCGTTTTGACCCTCAAATTCTTGGGTCGACTTACTAGGCGTTGTGGGCTGCACGTGCCGATTCACCACCCTTGAATCAAATCCTTAAAGACCAAGTCACCAATTGGAGGAGGAGCCCATCAATCTTGAAGATCATACCGTTAACCAAACTGCTCAGGTGTGAATTAGAAAGATTGAACAAAGCAACAAGTCGTCACCTTCACCTCGTGCCTGCTTGTCCATGTGTTCGAATCAACCTTCAAGAATCAAGCCTCAACGGCCTTTGAAGAAGTTTCCAGCCAAATTCAAGATCAAGCCTCGACGGCCCTTGAGGTAAATCACAAGTCCGATTCAAGATTAAGTGTCTACCACCCTTGAATCAAAACCTAGTTCAAGAATAAGCTGTGGAAAAATCAACAATTGGAGGAATCCAGAAAATCCTCCAATCCAGTTCAAGATCAAAGCTGTGGAAAGTCAACAAGCGCAACAAAATACGTGCCGATTCATCCACTACCAAAGCCAAAGATCATCTACCACATGAAGCTCCTTGTGGTCCAATTTCAACCTTCAAGATCAAGCCTCGACGGCCCTTGAAGAAATTTCAAACAACAATTCAAGATCAAGCCTCAACGGCCCTTGAAGAAATCTCAAGCCCAATTCAAGATCAAGCCTCAACGGCCATTGGATCGACATCTACAGTAAGGGACTTCAAAACGCATCTCCTACACGTGACAAGCACATGTATACGACGTGCCTTGAAGTGGGGGCATTTGTAGACATCGAAATTTCGGTAAATAAATGTTGACCGATAAATCAAAGTGTCAACGCTCATGTATTACATAAATTTTACACGTAGCGTGTGACTCAACGAAAATTGAAATGAGTTGGAAAAGTCATCAAATAGGACACGTGTCAACACCTGGCAGAAACGACTTATTTCATCTGGGATATTATATTCAAAATTAGGCCTTGGAAAATTCTATAAATACAAGCCCATTTCATTCATTTAAGGGAACCAATTCATATTACACCTTGAAGCTCTAAAGCTCTGAAACTCCGAAGCTCTCAAGCATCCAGGTTCCCGAAGAATCAAGAAAGCCTTCTTCGTTCTTCGTTCATCGTTCTTCCAAGATCAAGCCCAAACGGCCCTTTAGATCAACAATCATCCACCAATTCAAGATCAAGCCCTGACGGCCCTTGAAGAAAGTGTTCTTCGTTCTTCGTTCATCGCTCTTTCAAGATCAAGCCCCGACGGCCCTTGAAGAAAACACCATCGTTCATCATCCGTTCATCCAAGATCAAGCCCAAACGGCCCTTTGGATCAACAATCATCCACCAATTCAAGATCAAGCCCCGACGGCCCTTGAAGAAAACACCATCGTTCATCATCCGTTCATCCAAGATCAAGCCCCAACGGCCCTTTGGATCAACAAACGTCGACAAATCCACACATCCAACCATTCTTCAAGATCAAGCCCAAAAGCCCTTGAAGATCCGTTCATCACTGTTCTTCAAGATCAAGCCCAAACGCCCTTGAAGATCCGCTCAAATCCACCTTCAAAGATCAAGCCCACGACCCTTTGAAGAAACTTCCAACTGTTCATCTAAGATCAAGCCTCGACGACCCTTGGATCAACGAAACACCCACAAATACACACCTTACGGAGATCGAATCAGATGATCAAAATAGAGAGAGATTGTAACCCAAAATCATCAAAATTACAAATATTTGTTTGTGCACGTTGTTCTTGTCTCTTTCGTTTCAGGAATTTTCCGTGTTCACAGTTACTATTTACTTTACCCTTTATTTTGTCCTTATCGTTAAAACTCAAAGTTTTCAAGCCCTTTTCATTAGTATTCCTTAAAAAATATGGTGGGATGTATAGGGTTTAGGTAAGTGGTTATTGTAAAACTTCTAAATTAGAAAGATAACTAGTATGCATACTACAATGATTCTCTCCAATAATGAATATCCCTTAAATCCCAAACTTTTCATTCTTTGTAGAATGAAGTACCCTTGCAAAGTAATTTGATTTGGTTTAAATTTTAAACGAAATAAGAAAGTTTTGAGTGTCACCAGTTGTATACAATTATGCGTTTTTTTTCTCTTTCTTTACATGACATAGCTCGTTACCCTAAAAAATAGAGTAGATTTTCTGAGAATTGTAGTATTAATGAATTTCGCTAGAGAGAAGGTGGTGTCATGAATGAGAAAATAATCAAATTAACAAGAGGGGGATATATAGGTATGGGTTCTCTCTCTTTCTTTTTTTTTCTTTTTTTGTTTTTTGGAAAAAAAACGGGACGAGCTGATGGCTTCGTCACTATAGTTCACTCTTTTGGAGGCCAGAAAGACTTATAGAGGTATTTCAGCCTCTCATAGTCACAATCGTGTGATTAACCATCAAGAATCGAACCCAAGACGTGCCGTGTGAAATACGAACTTAGAATTCGTCTCCAACTACTAGACCGTCCCATGATGGTTGTACCTATGGTTTTTCATATTTGTGAAAAATAGTATGGTAGGTTGGGTCCTCAAGGGTTTTTGATAATTTGAAGGTGGGGCTTTGAGACTAATTGGGAAGTTGGTGGTAGAGATATGGGGATACTACGCACAGTTGTTAGTTCCCTTCACGCTTTTTAAATAGTTTCCTGGGCTTTTAACTAAAGAAGTGATAGGTTACCCACCACTCCCTATCTCTCTTATTTCTCCTCCTCTCAGAGCTTATCCATCTCCTCCCAAATGATAATTCAATCCCCTTCTTCAACAAAGAGACAAACCCCCCAACCCAATAAAGAATCTAACAACTGGTTCAAATATCAAATCTCAATAATGGATTGGTGATTTCATAGATGACTGGATATTTAAAAACAATTGTTTATAGAAATTAATAAAAAAGAAACTATGCTTTTTTGAATATCTCCAACAAGGAGGGTAAGGATTGACTACACTATCATGTTCAAGTCTTGAAGCAAAATCATTATAGTTTCGAAGATATAAGTTAAGTCAATTTAGTGTGCTTGATATCTTATTTTTCAAGTTTAAATTCTCTTTCTCTTATATCAAAATAGTTTAAAGAGAGATTTTGGATGCGGTCCTTAATTATGAATATTATTTGATTGAAACCTTATTGGTTTTTAATTTTTGATCAAGGTCTCTAAAATTAATGTGATAATTTATTTCTATGTACGTTACTATATTTTTTAAATTAAAAATTAGAAATTTTAGTTGTTTATATAAATGACATTTTAAATAAATAAAAAACCATAATTTGAGGGATTAAAAATATTAAAAATATAAATATACTATTGTGTGTGTGTATACAAACATGGGTACATTTGTCAAAATTAACCAAAAAAATTTGTATCAAAACATGGATACATTCTTCAAAATCACAATAAAAAAGATATTAGGCTTAATAACATTAGTAAATTTCTTCGATTAAACTTGACATGGATACATTTTAAAATAAAAGAAAAAAGAATGTACCCATATAAGTTTAAAAATGGATTAGAAAAAAATTGAATAGATTTTATATAAAAAAAAGGGTACATTTTACATATAACAAATTGGTATATTTAAGAATGAGTACATTTTAAGATTAAAAAGTTTTATATGAATGGGTACATATAATTAGCATGGGTACATTTATCAAAATAAAAAGTGCAAATACAAAAAAATATATGGGTACAAATTAAAACTGAAAAGAAAATTGGTACAAATTAAAAAAGAATTACAAATTAAAAATGGGTACAAACTAAAACTAAAAATATATGATAAAAAAATTTAGTCATAAATATAAATATACTGATTGTAACATTTTTAACATTAAATGAATATATTTAGAAATATAAAAAAAAATTATTATAATTAATGATGTTATCAATACCCAAGGACTTTGATCAAAAATTGAAAAGGAATATGATTTTAATCAATGGAGTAGCAAAAGGAAGGATGAGAACCTAATTTCTCCTAGTTTAAAATATCATTTTTGTCAAAATTAAAAAAAGAAACAACAATATTGCTCTTAGTTGAAAAACAAAGAAGTGTCATTATTTTGAGTTTGGAAGAGAAATACACAAAAATCTCAAAAACCATTTCCCTATCTTTGGGTATACAAAGATCCCAATAAAAAAATTGAGTTAGTGCTATCCACACACATATTTTATCTCTTGCACACCTTTTTTAATTTTCAATATTTAAATCGAATAAATTAAAAAAAAAATCAATGAACAAAAGTATGCAAGAAATATAAAAAAAAGGTATGTTAATAGCATCACACTCTTACTTAAAGTCGCTAGTAGCAACAACCACCATAACATGGCATTAAACCCTTTTGAAGATCTGGTATGAATCTGACAAATCCCAATTTGTCCTTTTAAATAGAAAAAGAAAGGGAAATAACATGGCTCAAATTTTTTTCTAAAACAATAAACATAAAAATAACTCACATTCTAGTAAATATGATCATAGGCATTCATCATCAATCAGCTCTGTACTGGTATTATACTAAAATATGCACCAACCGTCATAAAAATTAGAGAAAAAAGTAGAGAGCTTTGATGGGATAATTAGCAAAAGCAATCTCTTTCTCTCATTTCTCTCCACTCTCATTCCAACTACATCTTACAATTTTTTAATTTTTCATGACTCATTAATTAACCTCATTTCATCTCCAAGCTTCTGTAATCCAAGACCCCATTTTTCAACCCCAAGAAATCATAACCAATATTGGTGGTGCCACTGGTGGCGCCACCAATAGCATCCCTCCCACAGCTGCAGTTCTTTGCATCTTGAAGCCCCAAACTGCAAGAAAAGCAGAGTCCCCGCCCTCCACTCTTCAAACCGTCACTGGGTTGCTGAGGCTGGCAGGGAGGGCTGATTTGAAGGTCAAGATTCAAGTCAGGGCACCTTTCCTGAACTGGGTTTTTTGAATCTTTGCAAACAAGCCCATTGGTTATGGAGATTTTTTTATCCTCTTCTTTGATATTTGCAGAAGCGGCAGCAAAAGAAATTGTGGTTGCAGATTCCTGAGGTGTCTCATTGAGTGGCCTGTGAGTTGTGGGGTCAATCCCTCTGGTCAAAAGCTTCCTTCTTATGTGGGTGTTCCAGTAGTTCTTTATCTCATTGTCTGTTCTTCCAGGCAGCCTTCCAGCTATCAAAGACCATCTGAAAGCATAATCCAAACAAAACCCATTAATCTTAAAGAAGCCAAAAACATATAACACAATTTTCAAATGTTTTTAAACACTGTTTTTATTACACGAGGACTTCGCATGAGTTTACCCATCATAGTATTATTCTCGTCTAAACTCGCAAACACTTTGTTTTTAAAACAGGGTATGCACGAAGAGATAAATGAATTAGTTGCGCTTACTTGTTTCCGAGGAGGCTATGGAGTTTGATGATGAGCTCATCTTCTTCTTCAGTGAAATTGCCACGCTTGAGATCAGGTCTAAGGTAGTTGATCCACCGCAGCCTGCAGCTCTTCCCGCATCGGAGGAGGCCCGCCGCCTTGGGCAGTGACCTCCAGCAACCCTCGCCGTGAGCTCTGATGTAGGCAATGAGGCGGTCGTCTTCTTCCTTGGTCCAAGCTCCTTTGTTGGTGTGAGCCTTCTCACAGCAAGGAGATCTTCCCATTTAAAAAAAATATGGAAAAACTTGAAAGCTTTAAGAAGAATAATTAGTTGCAGCTAGAAAAGCCGTTGCCTTTGTTGTTGTTTATGTCTGGTTTTTTGGTTTTAGACACAGATGAAGTGCTGGTGGTGGTGGAAAAAAATGGAAGGCCTTGTTTTTTTGTATTTGCATTTGCTGCAACAGAAAGGCCGGCCCTTGTGAGGACTTGGCGTATGATTTTATAGCCTTTTGACTAAGAGAAAAAGAAGTGAGAGAAAAAAGAGGAGGGAGAGAAAGAGAGAGAGAGAAGGGACCCTAATTGCTTCTAGATGCGAGTTGGTGAGACAGGTTAGAGGGAGTGGCTGGTGGGCTCTCTCTCCTCTCTCTCTCTCTCTCTCTCACTAGATGATATTATTATGGAATCAAAATCGCATATAATAAGTTAAAGGGACATTAACTGTTGGCCCTACGAACCTTCAGGTAGGTGTAAAAGAAATATATATATATATGTATTTATATAAAAAACTATTATTAACATTTCAAAAATTTTATTATACATTCCTTACAAGCGTATTTTTCTTTCTAAGTATAGAAAGTTTAGAGTGCAAAATCTTAGTAAAGTATATATACATATATATATATATATGTATTTATATAAAAAACTGTTATTAGCATTTCAAAAATTTCATTATACACTCCTTACAAACGTATTTTTCTTTCTAAGTATAGAAAGTTTAGAATGCAAAATAAGATTTTTGAAGTGCCAATAACAATTTCATTTATATATTAGGGCAAAACATGGTGAGATTTCTGTTTTATCTGTGTGTTTCTGAAACTTTTAAGATAAAATATGTAACTCCAGTTCACCAGACACCATGTACGATAACAAATGTAGATGGAAACTATTTGAATATTAACGGTGTAGTAGTTCATACTGACCATGAGAGTCTTTGTCTGCAGTACTTTTCATTTGTCCCCCTCCCAAGGCAAAATTCTGGTTCTTTTTCTTCTGCTAGTTTTTATTGCTCACTGTTGGAAGTCTTGAATGCTTCAGAGTTGGTTCCATGGAATGTCATGATAGAAGCGATTACGTGTTCCTATCTCTCTTCGTTTTGTGACGAATAATATCACGAAATAAATAGACATATAATTGTATATAATTAGTGATATTGTAAATTTTTGTCGAGTACATGTCTGGATAAATGTTGTATACTGATCAAAATTTATGGGACTTATACTTAGATCATGAAGTGAGGTAGATTTGTAAAAGTAATGAACCTAGTTATTTTAATAAGTTGGTTGTAGTGGGTTTTTGGGAAGAGATGTCACTAGCTGATTTGGCTATTCTTGTGCATAAGAACAGAGATGGTAGTTGTGGTTGTTTATTCTATTGGTAATGCATGANGCTCTTC